AGAGTTGAACAAAGTAGTTATTTCATAGTTTTTCGTGCTTTTAAATCGAATGTTTTTTTTATAACTTTTATATGAGATGACCTAGCACTAGGTGGGTCATAGGTGGGTAACTCGTCATAAATTTTTAACAAAAAATATGTATTTATTCTGATCGAAAATGCTAACTTTTAAAAAGCTTAAGCCTTTTGAAAATAAATAATTTATAGAATAATATATCAATATAAAATATTTAAAATAACTAACTACAAATAATGCTTTTACCAAATAACTATTTGCAAATAGGTAAAAGAGATTATTTTAAAAATATGACACTTTTTAATTTTAAAACATTTATATCTATTGAAATATACAACTCTCCAACTGAATATTTTGACCTCGAATCATAGCTGCAATTTGAGTAAATCGCTATAAAAAAATTGTTATATTCCAACGGAAAATTTTATGGTAATATATTCCAATGGAAATTTCAACGGATATTCCAATAGTATAGCTTCCGTTGGAATGATTCCAACGAAAATAATAGCATTAAAATATCTATTGGAATTGTTGTTGGAATTTTATTGGAATATATTTCCGTTGAAATTTCAATTTTTTCTTGTAGTGTATATTTAGGTACCACAGCTAATAGAAAGTTTTCTTTTTTATAATTTGCACGTTCAATTGGTGAGCTGGGGGCCGTATTCAAGGCTCAAACAATCATACAATGTGCACGTTCAGATGCAATAGAAATAAATATTAATGGGATGTGTAGACTTCGGAAGTTTCAAAATTTTAATATTTTGATTATATTAGTTTTGTCGATCAGAATACATATGATTGCCAGGCATACCTTTAGTTATATAAAAGCACACGGTGTGTTGGAGATGATAATTAGATGATCTAGAAAAAGAGAATCTGTGATGGATAACTAAATGTTAGGTGGAGGGCTGCAAACGAGTACAGTCGAGCATAGACTTTGTCGAGCGCAGATGACCCGCCGCAGGCCAGCCCTAGAAAAAATCAACGGTTTTCAATTTTTTTTTCAGGACGAGTCCCGGATCAGAGTCGGGTCTGGACCGACCTGTACCTAGGTAGAGACCGGTTCAAGTTCGGTGATATTTAACTCGACGACCCGAAGGGCCGAGCCCAAATTTTGCCATGTCTATCTATCCCTAACATTACATACAATCCACAAAATCAAGTCATGGTATAAACTACAAGCCAGGTCTTGTTCAAATATGTATCCCTATAATCCTATATATAATTTTTGTTAAAATAATATGACAAGTCGACCCGCCTAACAGTTCAACTGTGTCACCAATTCTTGTTAACCTATCCCTAACATTACATACAAACCACAAAATCCAATCATGATACAAAGTACTACAAACAACATACAACCCCAATTCTTGTTCTAATATGTATTCATGTATGTATTTTTTTTCAATCAAATAACAAGTCTGACCCGTCTAATAGTTAGTCTCTGTCACAAATTCTTGTGAAAGGTATCCCTAACACTACAGACAATCCACATCGCAAATATGTATCATCCTTGTATGTAAACTTTTTTTTTTTAAATAATATAACATGTCGACCCGCGTAACAGTTAGACTATGTCACAAATTCTTGTGAAACCCATCCCTAACATTACATACAAACCACAAAATCCAATCACAGTTAGACTATGTCACAAATTCTTGTGAAACCTATCCCTAACATTACATACAAACCACAAAATCCAATCACGGTACAACCTACAACCCCAATTCTTGTTCAAATATGTATCCTTGTATGTATTTCTTTCAAATAATATAACGAGTCGACCCGTTTAACACTTAGTCGGTTTAACACTTAGTCTGTGTCACAAATTCGTGTGAAAGCTATCCCTAACATTTCACACAAACCACAACCCCACAATTTCAACAAACATATACACAACACCTACACTATATCTCATTCCCCTACACTAAAACCCCTACACTAACTGATTCCCCGTTGGCGTCGGCCACACTCTCTTATCGCTCAACCGCGTCGGCATATCCATCACCGCCGCTGGCTCCTCCCGCCCGATACTCATCCCTCCTTCCCTAACACTCATACTCATCCCCCCTAACCTTATACTCTCCTCTCCCCTCAAAGCCTGCTGCACCACCAGCAACGACACTTTGCTCTCCCCATTAACAGAGTACAACATCTCCTCGTCCGCCCGACACTCGTACGACGACCCCTCGTTCCCCACGAACCGAACGAGCGTTAGCTCGATGTTCGGGTGTTCAGCCATCCGTCTCGCGTAAGACAGCGCCTCCCTGTCGTCCGCCCCTCCGATAAAGAGAACCCCGACTCGAAAAAAATCTGGCCCGCGAACCGCCCCTCGGTCGACGAGGATCCCGACCGAGCAAGGGGACTCGCGGATTATGTTCTGGTTCACGGCTCGGAGGGCCCCGGCCTCCTCGTCCGAGACGTGGACCAACGGGTGGCGGTGGAAGAGGACGACGACGAGGGAGGCTCGACGGTCGGCCGCCAGGTGGCACACGTCGTGGTGCATGGAGGCGAAGGGGGAGATGGAGGTGAAAGGGTAGACGGTCGCGTGGCCTCGATTCTCGTGCTCGAAGAATCGGAGGGCGTTGATGATGTGGTCCGACTCGCCGGAGGAGAACGGGTGGCCGCGTGAGGTGGCGGCGCCCGGGTGGTGGGCTATGAGGTCGGGGGCGCTACGGCCTGCGAGCTCGACCAGGTGGACCACGTAGAAGCAGATAGGGGCTTGGGGGTGAGGGTAGGAAGCCTCGAAAAGGTTGATGATGGCTGGGGTGTGGTCCGAGTAGTAAAGGCAAGCGAGAATACGGAGCTCCATGGTGGGGTCCGCGTGCTGGATGGTCATCCAATCCCCCATGGCGTAGCTTCTGGACGGCTTGTAAGAGAACTTCACGATCGGTGCTAGGATTCCTGTGAAGATGGAGATTGATAGGACCATGAGGCTGTATGATTCTCCGTCTATCAGCTGCATAATAATAAGAAAAAGATAGAATTTTATTTTGGTTTTAAACTAGTTTAATGAATGGATATATGTTTAGAAGAGCTTACGTCTATGGATTTCGCGCGTTCCAACATGAGAACTTCCATGATGCCTTGGTTGCTCAGTATTATGGCGAGATAGACTGCATCTCTCATCGGCATTTTCCAAAACAGTAACGTCAGCATGACTCCAACTATTTTCCAGAGTACTGCGAAAAGTGCAAGGCACCCGACTATGGCGAAGCTCCTGAATGACATCGACGAGAAGTCGATTCTCGCGGTGCTGACGACGAAAAAGATGGGCAAAACGATGGAGGAGATGAACAGCTCGAGCTTATCGACCAAGGCCGAGCCTAAAGGAGGCCCATCGGGTATCACCATGCCCATAATAATAGGGCCGAATATAAAATGCTGCCCGAAATACTCGCCGTAAATGGCGGACCCCAGCACAAGGATGAAGATGATCATCACGTGGTTCTCACCGACGGGTTTCGAGCTGCAGCTCTTGGCAATCCCACGAACTATAGGGCGGAAAATGCACACTGAGAAAAGAACCAAAATCGCCAGAAACGTGAGCAACAGTGCAGGCGTGTGCTCTTTTCCGTGCACGCTCTGTTTTCCCATGAAGACAACGACTGTCCAGAACAAGCTGCAGAGGCTGCCGATCATGGACGAGGGTATGGCCAGCCGTCCGAGGTCAGAGTTCATTAGCTTGAGGTCGGCTAGCAGGCAAACGATGACATGGAACGAGGTAGTAGCCTGAAATGACGCAACCCATACAATGGATCGGTGAAGACTAGGATCCATGGGCACAGAATTCGATAAGAGCTTGCCAACCATGGAGTTGAGCAATAAGGGCACAGCAAATGTGCAGACGCCGATAGCAACTGCTTTTTTTCCGGACTTTTGTACGAGGCTTAAGTCGGTTTTCACGCCGATGATGAATAGGAAAAACATCACGCCGAAGTAGGCGAATGTGTCGACTATGTAGAAGCTTGAGACCGGGAAAAGCTCCCTGAGTGCTGGGTTGCTTCCGAAAAAAGATGGTCCCAATAGTACCCCGGCCTGAGTATAATCACACCAAAAGCAAGAAGCTGTTAGGAACTCTAGGTTAATTTTAATTAAAATTTGCTGCATTTTACATTCAATGCAGCAAGATATTATAAGAAACAACTGCAGGCCGTAAAATGAATGGCAAATCCAAGGCCCACGAAATGCCCTTTTACCATTTGCGAGATAACTTAAGAGATTGCCCAAAGCTACAAAATCCACGCATGTATCGTCCTGATCCCAGCTTCTTGTTACTACTCTATTGTCCCACCCAGTGAAACATTTACACAAACACCTTCTGTGCACGAAAACCCACCAACCTAGAACATCTATAATCACCACACATCTCAAAAAATAGATCACCCCTACAAAAGAAAAAAGGAATTTTGCAACTCACGAGTATCTGGGAAATGAAAGCGCTCTGGCCGAGGGGGGCAAGGAAGCGGTTCAAGACGGCGGCGGCGAGGGCGCAGAGAGAGGCCTGGCCGAGCAGGAGAGGGGTGGTGGAAGAGAAAGGGCTCTCGCCGAAGAATACTCCTCTGCTCCACCGGGTTTGCTGTTCCTGCTCGAAGCATATCGTCCCCGCCCGGATCGGAGATCCGCTCATCCTCGCATATGACGGCGGGAATAAATTAGGTCAAAAATTGGATGACGGCAGAAGGAGAAACCTTTTTGATCCGAGAGAAGAAAAGGAAAAGCCCCAAAAAAATGAGAGAAAAAAAAAAGATAAAAGGAAGATAAAAAGTGAAGAAGGGTTGGAGCTTGGTTGAAGTGCGTGCACGAGCAAGGAAAGGGGAAGCCATGGAGCAGAGGAATTAGCGGGACGACCGAATTTCGTCTTCTTTTCGCGCATTGATTGGTAGCTATAAAGGGTAAATTCAAATGATTTTATTCATTCATTTATTTAATTATTTCTATCATTATAATTATATTCGATTCAACAGTAATAATAAAGTGGAATCAAATTTTTCCTCTACAAGACATAATACATATTTTTGTGTTATATTTGAAGGTCATTTACATTGATTTAACATAATGTCGTTTAAAACAAAAATACTATACATAAGGTCATTTACATTGATTTTTAAAATATTTTTTGTGTTATTTTTGATGGTTTAAATGACAAATTATATCGTTTTAACTACTAATTATGTACAATTATTATTTTACTATTTTTATATCACATCAACTCATATCCATTGACTCCCTATACTTTAAAAAAATTACAAATTATATGAAACAACCTAACCATTAAGCTCGTCAATCCGTCACACTTTTTCTTACTGGCATGAAGATACTCGAGCTCCAACCTCTCTGCCTCAGCTAGAGATCAACCAAGTCGATCATCAAACCAAACTCAAACATACTTTTTGAAGCTTGATTGAAATCCGAAGCAACTTTTGAGTAACAATAAAATAAAGCATACGAAGCAACATCAATAAACACATTTATAAATTCCAAAGCAAAACTGCATCGCCCAAGTTAACAGTTAACGAATAGAACAAAGGATCAATCAGGCTGCACCTACAGTATCTTGAATTTTCACTCGTACAACTACACAATCAGTATTGGAGCAAAATACCAGAAATCGAGTACTGTGCCAAAAAAAAGGAACTCTGATTTTTTTTTTTTATTATTATTATTTTTTAGCATACGTAATGAACATTGGATACTGGGAAGCGACATTAAAGCCCTGAAGGCTCTCCATGGCAGCCAAGGCCCAAGAGTCGTTTTCATATTCTACAAAGGCAATACCCGGCTTTGCTTCGATCATACGAACTTCTCTGTAGCCTTCAAACCTGTTGAAAACCTCTTCGAGAGTGAGGCTATTTGTTTGTGGCGGTAGATTTTGCACAAAGAGAATGTTATTGGGCTCTGTGACCACTTCTTGTCTGCCAGGCTTCCCTGGTCGAGGAGCAGCCTGTAATCATCATCAATCATAATCAGTTCTATTTATGACAAAATCTTTGAAAAAGCATGAACTCAATATTGGATTTTTTTAAGATAATAATAATAATCAAAGTCTCATTTTTCAATTAGCTAAACAAATCCACAGTACTTCTTGGGAAGGGACAATAGGATAAATGTGTGCCAAATATTAAAGCATCTACAGTACACGTTGTTACTTATTTTCACGACATGCCAGCATCAAAAGTCAGATAAACCGACAATTACCATCTCACTCTCACAGAGCAGATGAGTAAATAAAATATATATATTTGGTGGGTAAAATAATATTAATTTAAGCGGGGGGAAAGAAAAAGAAACTCACAGATGGGCCTCCATTAGTGTCTGCTCTGGAACCATTTGCTGTGGCAGTCTGCTGACCTTCTTCAGCACGTTTTTTTCTCTCAGCTGGATAAGCAAAAAAAAAAAAATGTTGCAAGATATCAGTGTGCACCCAAGTTGGTATAGCATAAAAAATGAAATGCTTAAGCTATAGCTAAAGAAGTTTACGGAACTTTCGGTAATCTACAGCATACAAGAAAATGAACACATGCATATAATCCACATGCCACTTCTGCGCAAAATATTAAATCAGGAATAGGCTCTCTGTCTCGAGGGAACGAGTGCATAACAAGAAAAGAATGAAGAATGAAAAAAAAAAATTCACAACAAATTTATGCAGTTTTGAATTATTCACACCCTTGAACTAGATCTGCTTCCTTGATCACCATAGAGTATTCCAAGCAATATTTCACACCATGTAAAGAGTCGGCAAACATAGAGAAAGAGAATTGGCTTGGCTCAACAAAATATTTACCTTTTTCCTCTTGTTTCTTTTTCTTGTCATATGTACCCTCTGCTTTAGCAATACAATCTGATTGTGATTTAGCATATTGTATCCTCTGCATGGCATTTCAGATTAGAAGGTCTAACCAAATAAAGCAACTTCTAACATATTGATTTGATGCTTTAGGCTCGTAAAGCGAACATAAACAGAATAAACAAATGAATAAAATATATTAAGCAACAACAAGTTGTGTAACACACCAAAAAGGAGAAAGCAGTTCGTAAATGGCACCGCGCACATTATATTTATGATTCTGTTTTGTTTAATTTTCATTCATTTGAAAAAGGTATGATTTCTTTGTTACCAGGAATAGAGACTGCTAACACTATACCGAATAATATATTTGAAGTACTGCAGCTCTTGAATTAACGAAACAAACTCCATGCATGCCGACAATTGTACTACCACATTACTTTTCACATAGTACCAGACTCATGATGCAACCAGTACTTTTGGGAAGAACAACAAGAAAAGGCAGCTATAGTATATACATATATATATATATATATATATAACAAGTAGAACTGGCACCATAAGAACAAAATACTTACCTACGCAAATAATAAATGGCTGATAAGAGGTGAATTACTCGATTATGAGTAAAGTGTAAAGACCCAAAAACTAATAATGGTACAGCCTAGAACGGGCAGAAAGATCCAAATGTAAACGTAATAACAATAATAACTCCACTGGCACACACTCGTTGCACATAAAAGGTTCACACAGAAACGATTTAAACATAGAACTATAGAAGTACTCACAATAGGTTTGTCATAAAAAGGGAAGTTCTGCATCTGCCGCACTGCATGGCTTGCGGCTGTCACATCACTGAACACGACCCATGCCTGACCACGGAGCTTTGCAGTTTTCAACGCAACAATGTCCAAGATCCTTCCATACTGCGAGAACAAGGCATAAAGAGATCTCTTCAACTCTGTCCAAATTATTAAAGACATGTAAGCATCAAAATCAGTATTGAAATTCTGAACCCAAGTCCTTATGTAAAATGACCGTGCAACTTAATTAGTTATTTCTGATTTATCAAAATCTTTCGTAAGATTGCTGACTTACATGTAATGTGTGGACACTATCATTTCAGAGCAAACAAACACAACTAATGAGTTGCAGCTGAAGAATGTAATTACATGGTTGGAAAAACGAAACCAAATTAATCTGAGCCACCTGGCAGTATGGTACATCGGTACTGCCCAGAAAGATGACACCCCCCAAAAGTAAAAGCAAATAGGTTTCGAACTAACCAAATACTTTAAACGCATATGTTGGGGACATTACATACTGTTGTCATCCCAGATTCAGTTAACCATGAGACAAAAACAAAGAAAAGCTGGATTCATAACCTCATGGAAGTTAAAATTTCTTCCCTTGACATTAGTTGCGTTTGCTAGTACTAACTAAACTACAAAAGTCAAGGTAAACAAAGCAATAACATATGAAAAGACAATTAGATTGATCTGAAGCATAAGATAACTGTCCTCAGTTTTTCCAATGTACACTTTCATAAACTAATTATTGGGTGCTTTGCCATATTCATGTGCTAAGCCTACCTATTGATGACCAACCAAACCATGGAACTGGAAACTCGGAGCACAAACTCANGAAATAAAGATTTTCACATATCAATAATGCCCATTAAAACTATGTCACCGATACACAATTCATTGGCTTGCTCATTCCACTCATGACAACCATAACACAGGTGAAAAAAGCTATAACCAGAAACCGTAAGCACAAGAATTCTACACATATGCACGGCCAAACAGCCGTCCCATTAAAGAGCAGGCTAAAACTTTAACAAGAAAGACAACCCGGAGGAAAAGAGAAAACCAGAATATCAAAATTCCAGCTCCAGCGGAAGCAAATAAGACAATGGCCGCACAACTCAAGGAGAAAAACTACAGAATCTGAGTACAAGCCCTAAGTCATAATATAGAAGCAAGAGGGGATGATAAAACCTTCTTTCTTGACTTTCTCGTTCAGATTCTTGATGTATATGGTCTGGTTTGGAGGTATGTCACTCGTAAGCATCTTCGACGCCGTCAATAGAGGAATCTCTCCGTCGTGTCACGGCGTGCAATTGCCCTAATTCAAGTGGAGTAAAGGAAAAGCTGAAGCACACTTGGAAAGAAATTATGTCGATGGAAGCAATCAAGCAAATAATATTTGGTGGGCTTAAAGAAATAATGGGTTCTCAAGTGGGCTGTTGTATCCTACTGGACAGTATGTTATTGGTGGCATGTTTTTGATAAGATACAGAGTAAAAGTCAATATATTTATAATTAAAAAAAATACTTCGTAAAGGTTGAGTATTATGTTTGTGGTGGGTGTATTTGAAAAATGGAGAAACTGCAAATAATTCAGCAATATCAAGACCAATGTAGAAATTACACCAGATCGATTCATTTCGCATTTTGAGAAATGACAATTACTCAGTTTGCACTTTTATGTGGTCATATTGTATACAATTGTACTTTCTCTTCCATTTTGTAATGACTTGTTTTTTTTAATGGGGCGATGAAGTCTTCNAAACTGAAATTACAAAAACAGCTTCCACTTCCCATCTTTTGTACTCCATAGAAAAAATTTACAGACTTCATATTTGGAGAAAAACTGCAATGATCCCTATCAAACATTAGTGGTCATTCATAATTTTCCTACCCCAGTGATCAATACTTTCTGCAAACTGTGGGGAAAATGGCTGCTGCATTAATGAAGTTGTACCATAGCAAATCCGAATTCAGACTAATTCAATTCAAAACATGTCAATGTAGGCATTATAATCTGTACTAAGAACTTATTAAAATTCAAAACATGTCAACCTAGCCATTACAATCTGTACTACTAACTTATTATACATACAGCACATAGCTCTCTCAAACTCACATGCTCTCTTCATATCCTAAAATGTGATATCTGAATATTCTCCACATCAAGCTTCCTCAGATTACCATAGTTTCGCGTGGCCCGGAACTTCCCCCAATTATACCCTTTGAACCTAGCCGGGTTTTGCTCGTCTACAAGCTCCTCCACGGGCTCCACCCACGTGTAATGCGCGGGATACAAGAAATACGGAATTGAAAGCCTCTCCTTTTCCGAATTCACCACTGCCCTGTGTTCAACGCTCTCATACTTGTCATTACTCCAAACCTATATACAAATATACCCGTAAAACCGTAAAGCAATCACGAGGAACCTCTTTTATGATATGTCGGTGAAAATTCAGTGAGCTAACTAACTACCTGGATTATATCACCAACATTGATGATGAAAGCATCGGGAGTAGGCTGTACGAGAACCCACTCTCCATCGGTTTTCCTCTTCACTTGAAGTCCCGGGACATTATCCTGGGCAAGAATGGTTAGGACACCTGTATCCTTGTGCCGACCAACGCCAAGAGTTAGATGGGGAGAAGGGCAAGGCGGGTAGTGGTTGAGCCTCACGCGGCTCGTTTGGTCCTTGAAGAATCTGTTAAATCGGTCCTCGGGCAAGCCCAAGCTCAAGGCTATCAGCCCAAGTAGCTTGAAAGCTAGTTTCTCCATCTCGATTACGTGCAATTCACATGCTTTCCTGTAAGAAAGCCAAAAGGGACCAAAAACTATAGCTAATTGAACCAAGATAGAAGATGGAAACTTTCTGCAAATGTAATAGCTTTAACTCTTCCATAATCTCAAAAAGCTACAATCTTGAATTAGCCCATAAATTTTATGAGGATCAAATTCGAGAAGCAGCAAATTCTATGAAAAAGCTACAGGCCTGATTCAGCCCATAAATTTTGTTTAGCGCCTCTACCATCATAGCCAAAAATTTGGGATCAATGCAACTCATGATAGGTCAGAACTCAGAATCAGCTAAAAACATCAAAAGAACCAAATTGCACAAAATGCGATCACTTCACAACAACAAGAAAGAACAACAACAAATCTAAAGAAAGCCCATAACAACAATAATCAACCTCAATTCAGGGGTACCCTGAGGCCACTTATTGAACAACTCTCTCAGCTCCAAACGATCCGGTTCGCGCAATGTCGGAGCAATAACCGGATTTTCGACCGCAAAATCGAAAACTTCCTTCCAATCCCTAACATTCTTAGTGTGCTCGCTGTCATAATACCCAAACGGGTTTGCCCTATCCCGGGCGACTTTATTCTTCTCTTCTTTAGGCAGGGAGAAGAATTTCCGAGCGGCCAACTCGACATTTCGGCGGCGCTCGGCCGGAACGCCGTGGTTGATGACCTGGAAAAATCCCCAGTCGCGGCAGGCGTCGCCTATCTGGGAAATCAGGCCAGATGGGCCAACGGCGGGGCACGAAAGGTCGATTAAGGGTATGTTTTGGGCTTCGATCGTGCGGTGGGGTTCGGGCCTGTGCTCGGAGAGTTGGATAAAGGCGGCGTCTACCTCTGCCATTGCTGAGCTTCACTAAGAAAAAATGACAGACATAATAATCTGTTGTGCCTTGTGGTATTAAAGGAAGGTGTAATTTGGAGAATACATTGAATCGGGACGTGTTTATTTGGTCAAAATTATATTAATAAAAAAAGTAGATTAAAACGAAAAATATTTCAAAGATTTATATATTTTCTTCTATTTTTTTAGTTGTATATAGATACTCGTTTTAGTTCATTTTTACTTTTTTTTTTTATATGTGTTACAGTAAATCCGTCCACCATAATCAGAAAATAAAAGGAATGAAAGACTTGGAAGAAACTAGGGCTGTTATCGAACCGAACCGAACCGAACCGAGTTTAAGGTGTTCGAGCTCGAGTTCGAACATGTTCGTGTTCGTTCGATTAGTAAACGAACAAAAAATTTTGTTCGTGTTCGTTCGTTTATTGGTTCGACACGTTCGTGTTCGTTCGTTTATCTAGTCGAACATGTTCATGAACTGTTCGAATTGTTCGACAAGTTCGTGTTCGAGTTGTTCGACATGTTCGTGTT